AATTGGCATGAATTTTGAATTCAAACTGCTGCCCAATGAGAAAATGTCACGTGGAATATCGGTTATTGAACCGTCACCATAAAAAATCACCACGTGTAAAAGTGATGATCACTTTTCTACTAAATTCCGGTGAAAACCTTGAACCGTCACTTCCATCAGATATTTCACTTCCCCCAACCGGATAAGAACCACCATATGTTTCGATACCGAGTGAGACCGGTATAAGTTTCATTACCAATAGTGAACCATCCTTCGGCATGGAGGCTAGGCTCGTCCACTTATGGGTAGAATAAGCAAAATCATTTGCCATACTTTGCGAAATCTAAGTTTCAAGTTGGTAATACCCAAAACCTCAAGGATTTCGGTGCAACTGGGTTCATACCAACTCAACAGGTATCTAGACTCACAACACTCTAGTTGATCCTGTCGTCAACCCAACCTTTGTGATTGTATTGACTCACCACACTCAATGTTATATTGTCATCAACTTACCCCTTTCTGGCCCTCAGCGAAAAGTTGTACCGACCACTCTATTGATCGACCGCACAAAGGGGACGCCTCATCCCTTCACAAATATGTCGACATATGCATAATAAAAGTAAACAAACAATTTAGCATTACAGCTAACAGTCTACAAGTCTACCTACCTAACATCATACAACATTCTAACCATATCCTAGCATACTAGGACATATACTACAATATATAGTAAATTGAGAAAACTCACCTGAGCCAAATAGCAAAAGCTCAGCAGCAACCTCAACAACATAACAACTAACACCAGCTACTAAATGCCCTACTGACAACAGTTCTTAGTCGAATACTCAATTCTACCGAAGTTTTACCAAAGGTCAAATATGTCAAAAAGTCAACGGTCAAATTCAACCCTGACCACCACGTCGCGGCCAATCCCCTTGATCGCGTTGTGGTCGCTAAATGAATAAACAGACGCATGACTTGCAGTCCATCGTGTCGTCTTAACCCTTAAGTCCAAATTTCTAACTCTTTCAGATATGGTACTTAATAGTTTCATAATGAATTAAGTTTCTAAATTTATCCATTAGGATGGTCCAAACAACCAAGATCTAAACTTTAAGTCTCAACGAATCCAAGAATGCATCTTTCTCGACTTAATCCATTAAGGCCAAGCCTCAAACTTTTAAATCTGAATCAACATGATGTTTAGATGGATAAAGTTTACAACTTTATCTATAATAAGGCCACAAACTTCCAAAATCTAAATCCTTAATGACCAAATAACAACCCAAACATCAGCCAAAAGCTCAAGTGTTCTTCCAACTCAATGGAATAGGCCACAAAGGGACCAAAACTCTTAGATCTATGGAGGAAACATATTAAAGCTTGAAACTCTAGAGTTTACCAAGGTCCAAAGGTGTTAAAGAAGGTTGAAATCTTCAAGATCCATGCTTCCTTCCCCAAGCTTTAACGCATCATCACCCAAGAACATCATAGGAGCAAAAAAGAGCACCAAAATCATTTTAGGAGAAAGGATGAGCTTCAAACACTTTAATGTAGGCTAAGGTTTCATTAGAGGTGTTCTAGAGGAAGTGGAGGCTGAAAATGACGAACTACAGGGTTAATGGCCTTTAAATACTCCAGAAAAACCCCTAAAAACGTGTAACCCACTAGGCGTGAGGCGCCCCACTCTCCTTAAAGAGCGATCTGCGCTTTTTAGATGAAATTCCAGATTTTTCTGTTTTCAGTGAATAATTCAAACAACTATAACTTCTTCGTTCTAAATCTGTTTTTAGTGATCTTTATATGCACACAGAGGTATTGACAAACCCCACAGTTCTATGTTATTACTTTTGACTTTAAGCATACTGAAATTAATATATTAATGCATGAAAAAGTCACAAATATCACTTTTTCTCATTATAACCCTTTATCTCCAAAGCACAATTCAAGGGCTTAAATCATTTAACCAACATTATTAATATCTAATAAGGTCTAAAATTCATTCCTTTGAGGCATAAGACCTTTACTAGATCAAATTACGATCTGCTATTGAAACATCGCAAAATACTAAGTAAATAATTTATTTTTAAGTCAACCAAATTCGTCAATCATTCATTTCAAACCATCAAAGAATTACAGTGTGGAAAATTAGTTATCAGATTACGATCCCAAAATCATAAAATGTTGAACACTGGTGGATGCGATGTGATCATGTCGGACCCTTCCCTTTTGAACTAGAAGTACCTGAAAAATGTTTAACATAATTTTAAACACAAAGCTTAATGAGTTCCCCAAAATACCACATACCATACAAGCAACGAGCCCCGCTCCATGAGTATAACGGGCCTCACCTAACTCGCATAACGGGCCCCGCCCAACATACAAAACATGCAAGTATCACACAGAAAACTAGCATCCTACAAACATAAACCAGTGGGCCAGCATTGGTGCCTTCGACTCACGAGTACAGTGAAGAGACTCACCTTAATCCGATGATAAACAAATCACACACTCGAGCTGCTGCTACAACGACTCCTCACACTAAACTTATCCAAAACCAACCCTAATTCATAAGTACCCCATAATCAATGGTCCTTTTTATATTCTCTCTCACTAGGGTAAAAGTCCAGTTTACCCTTTCTTTGTTGTACTCACCCAAACATGGCCCAAGGCCTAAAAATAGCCCAAGTATACTTCTGGGAATACATCATGCGTACTCCTCACTTACGCCCGACGTACTACATGATTACAGAAAAGGAATATAGAGCAAACCCGTTACGCCCTGCGTACCTCAGGGTTACGCCCTACGTAACCCCCTGCTATCCAAAACCATTATTAAGCTCTTATTAACTAAAGACTAAAAGTCCAAATCACATATCTAAATCTTGGAAAGGTCTTAACTGATAAATTCGACAACTTTAAGCTTTTGCATGGCTTAATAGAACCCAAAACCAAACCATAGGTTCATAACTTCACAAAATGACCAACAATTCATGCATTGGTGAAATATAACCCTCAAGATCCAATTTTTATGACTTAATAACCTCATAAATGGCTTAAAAGATGCTCAAGGGTTTTGGAGTAGCTCATACTCACAAGAACCAAAGCCATGGGACCAAAAACACATAAGGATTTACCAACCAACAAGATCTGGCCAATGAACCACTAAGGTGGGAGCTTTTTACCATCTAAAGAAGCAAGGGGAACAACAAAATCTGGATCTACAAGAAATGGACTACCAATACCTCCTCCATTTATCACCTTCCTCACAAAACACAGAAAATATCACTCTAAAATCTCAAGAACCTCACAAGGTGGCTAGGGTATCAAAATGGTGCTTTGGGACAGTAGGGGTTGGTAATGAGGGACACCTCAAGGGCTTAAGATCCTATAAATAGGGTCCAAACCATACACATTAGGGTTCGGAGTCGGCATGAGTATGCCCTGCGTAGTCGAAAAGGTCCGCATTTTAACTTAAGTGACCTATGCTCAGCGTAAGCACCAAGTACGCCCTGTGTAGGGACTGATTTGTAATACTATGTTACGTTAAGCTGGAAATGAAAATACCTAGAAATGGATATTACAAGTATCCCGAAATTAGAGACATCCTGCAACTGGATGTTATACATCATCTTTTTCTTTGGAAAATTTTTTTTTTTTTATTTCTTGAAACAACATATAAATAAATGAACAACCACAACAATAATTTATTTTGGATATATCGAATCAACACTCATAAATCATAAAAACTCATCACAAAATAGTTTCACCTGTAAATATGAGAAAAATTTGTCTAAAAATTGAAAACATTGAGATAGTTAGTCGGGATTGTTCCTTGTAGAGACAAAGATATAACATTTATACCAATTGTAGAAACCAAATTTTGACTGGCTAGGTGTGGAATAAAGATATCTTGAAGATAAATCAATAATGGGCTGATGAATACGTTTTATAATATTTTATAAAAACACTTTTGGGTAGGGAACGTGATTCTAAAGCTACTCATGCTCTCTACAAAACTATGATAACACTTTGGTGTACTACTAACTAATGACCATTCCTTCACCTTTTATATTAGAGGAATGAATATGCATTTATATAAAGGGGATAATCTATCGTAGCTATTACTAAATATTTATAACATTTATAGCTCCAACAAACCCGGTTCAGTTTAGGTGCTTACAAAATATATAGCATTACTTGATTAAAGGGCTTACGTTTCACAGTATAAGATTCTATATAAAGATGCATAACTTTTTTCTCCTTGTATGGTTTTACGAGATGCCATGTCCAATGTGTATAATAGTAATCTTCCTCCAAAAGGCATTCTCGTGGAGTTTGTGCTCTTCAACATGATAAATATCAGATTTGATGTTGCAACATCAAACAACAATATTAATCAAGCAGATTGTTGGCCGCTTGGTTGAAAACTACTAATATGAAACTAATATTGTTTCAACATTGACATGCAAACATATTTATACTAAACTTTAATAAGACTTGTTGTCTCTAAATATATTTATACTTGGAAGCTGTTATAATCCAACCAGAAGTTTTAGTAATATATCCCTTGAATATTTCCAGATCATCTTTATTCATAAGCTTTGATCCGTGGACCGTAATTCACAGATCATCTTTCTTAATTTGATTATTATTTTAGAAACTGAGCTTTTAAAAGATTTTTACATGTCTCCTGGCTTCACTCTTAGGATATATACTTTGTAAAAAATGACAACGTTCTTTTTGATAAATCGGACTCGGCATTTAGAAATATAAATCTAAAACTTATGCAGAAGATCTTCAGATGGACAGCAAAGAAGAAAAAACTATTGTTTGTCAACAAAAGAAAACATATATATATATATATATATATATATATATATATATATATATATATATATATATATATATATATATATATATATATATATATATATATTGTTTGTCAACAAAAGAAGACATATACAATAACTTTCCATATTCACAAAGACCTTTCTATGTTCTGGACATTTGACATTTGTTCCTACTTTAACCATATTTTCTAAGTAGCTACACCTTTTTGTTGTTTGATGACGTTTACCTAATTGATGGGGAGAAATCTCTTTTAAGGCTTGAGTTTTCTTCTACCATCATATACATGGTGCTTAGTAAAACTAAAAACACAAAATTCACTAATTCCCAACATGTGTAATATTAGTAATATACATTAATTAATACTTGTTTCTCTTTCAGACTCTTAGATGAATCGTCTCATTCTACCATGGTAAAAAAATCGGGCCAACATTTTAATCTAGTTCTCAGGATTGGGACTGTACTACTGTTCTACAAACTCATTGGACTTCCATGAATGATTAAATGAGCTCAAGAACATGACAATCTTATTCCTTTGAACTAAATAACTTCATTTTTGTTGTTTCTTTCCGGTCTCTAGTCTGTCTAAGATGTTCATCTCAACTTCATTGAAACAGTCCAGCCCAAAATCATGAACTCCAAAATCTTGACAATCAAATAGCCACGTAGCACAATCATCCCACGAACTAAAGTTATTGAAGTTTTGTGCAGTGTTTGGTAACTCCCAAGTCGTTGTATCAACTAGTGGAGGCTCATCATCACCTAGAAGGTAGCTTAACAACATTTCATCTTCACAAAGGCTATCAAACAATTTATGTGGTTCATCACTCAAAGTTAAACAATTTTCAGGTGGTGAGAAGCTTGAGTTCTCCTCCGAGTTTCCTGTAGCGTTGATGCTTTCGAGCTGTGGTGAAAGGCTGTTATTTTCAGATTCTGAGGAGTGTTCTCCTGGACAAGATGAGGTCTTTGTGTCTGGAGATTCCTTTTCAAGTGGTTCGTGAGTGACAGGATCAATTCCTCTTTTTATGAGTTTTTTCTTGATATGAGTGTTCCAATGATTCTTAATCTCGTTATCCGTTCGTCCTGGTAATCTTGCTGCGATTTTAGACCACCTAACAAACAATCAAATAATAAAGAAATTTAGTGAATACTGTATGATACAGAAAAATTAAAACGAGTTATTTCCACTTTCATTTCATTTTTTTTGTTTGCTGAGATTTTATTTTCATAACATGAAAGATTACCCGACCCACAAGTTAAGATGAAGTTCGCTTCAAAATTCAATGAAGAAAACGAAAGGAACATCTTATGTATTACTTTTGTGGAAATAAACGTTAAAGGTTATGTGAATTATGACTTCTACATAATTGCTCATTTATTTAAATAGATTGAAAATTAGACCAATAAAATTAGGCACTAAAATACCTCGTCGTTGCTTTACTATGAAACATGTCGGCCATAAACCATATTTATTTGATTGGTATGACTTATATTTTGATATTTAATTTATTTGATCACTTTTGTTTTTAATAAGATACTTTTGTCTTTATAAAATTCGTATATAGACAGAACGGGTGGTCTTAAACAACCAAAAACGAATTTATTTAAAACATAAGATACGATAATCAAATTCTAAAAAGATTTGAGAATGGAGTATGTAATTTTAAAAAAGATTGAGAATTTCTTTTTGTTGGAGTGAGTGAGTCCAACGACGACCTACCGATTTCCGAGACGAGCATGGAGATCAATAACCAGTTGTTCTTCAGACTCAGTGAGTAGGCCACGCTTCAAGTCAGGACGAAGGTAGTTGGTCCACCGGAGACGACAGCTCTTCCCACACCGGCGGAGGCCTGCGAGCTTAGGGACAGCACGCCAACAACATTGGCCGCTGGTTAGTATAAAGTTGATGAGTTTATTATCTTCCTCCGCCGTCCACGGCCCTTTCTTCACCCCTAGTTTATCACAGCACGGCTGTCTTCCCATCGTTAAGCACCACCAATCACCAGCGGAAAAATAAAAATACTTGACAATCTTAATGCTATTAAATCCCGATGCTTATAATGTGGAAACCCTTCAAAACAAACTTATCCAGGTTTACGCCACCACCAACCTATATATATAGTCGCTGGAGAGATATAGAGAGAGAAGGTAGAGGGCCCACCATTGATCCATGAAAGATACTGGTGAACTGCCACTTGGGTTGGGTGTGAGTGATGAGGTGAATAGGAATGATGGGTGACAAGAGACATAAAAGGCCACATAAGAGTCCTCAAAATATATATTTTAAAATTATCAGTTTACACCCATGACTTTAATAAAACTGATAATTTCTAGCATGCCTATTTTAAACGAATATGATACAACAACCTAGATATGTGACCAGAAACTCAGAAAGAATCCGTTGAACTGCAGTAGACTTATATGTGGCATTATTTTTGAATGGCGGATACTCGAAGTTAATTTGTGTAATTCGAATTCGTATCAACTCCATCCTAACATGTCTCATACTATACCTGGATATCATCATTATGTAGTCTTAATAATGTTTGACTTATAAGTATGGAGTGTATTATACAAAGAGATCATCAGTAAGCCATCTTCATCATTTTTGAGTTATATGTATATATGTAACTGATTCGAACCAACTACTGAGATATTCGAGACCAACTCAAAAAATACTCAAAATTGACTCGGTTGAAGTAAATTCGAGCTCGAGCTCGAGCTCAAGCTACTAGAGTACATTATCGAGTCAAGCTCAAATATTAGAATACTTTGCTCGTGAAACTCACGAGCTTAATCCAGCAGGGTTATACAATTATACTTACATATTTACCCTTTGTTATATATATATATATATAGATATATATATATATATATAATATATATATATATATATAGAATATTATATATATATATATATATGAGACCAACATATAAACAAGTACAACTCATAGAAGTATAAAACCATATAAAAATAACAATGTTCATTTTTGAAATAAGATAGTTGGTTTAGAGAGAAAAGCAACTTCGCAGCACAACCATATCTTCGTCGCGACGCGTCATCGTAATAGCTCAAAACCCCATGTCTTATGTTTTGGACCCTATTTAAAGGCTCTAACTCAACCTCTGTCTCTCAGAGAGTAGAAACCCTAGCCCACTATCCATCCTTCTTCATGTTTTGGTGTTTGTGATGTGATCCTTAAAGAAGAAGCTCGTGAAGTTTCCACTTTCTTGTCACTTCAAAATCCACTATAAGTTATAAAGTTTGGATCTTTAGGGTTGAATGCTTCTAGATCTAGGTTTTTAGCATGATCTGGTCCATTTATGGTTGAGTGGCTTAGAGTTTGCAAAAAATCCAAGTTACTAGTTGTTTTGGATGGTTTTCTTGACTCATTAAGTTGAGTGGAGTGCATGCTCATTCCCCCTTGGAGCCATGCAAGAATGTCCTTGACATTTTTCCTTAATTATAGGTCTAGGGTTAGTGTTGGCTATGTTAGAGGTTTGGTTATGGATAAAGTTGGAAACATTATCCATTAAGAACCTTATTTAATAGATTTTAGAAAGTTGTAGCCTATGGCTTAAAGGATTAAACACTTAATGGAATACGTGATTCTTCCCAAAAGACGCCATATGAGCATGGCACGGTCGCAACATGAAGGTTGGTATGGCCTCACGTGTATTTTGCCATGTAGTGGTTTCGTCGCGACTAAAGACTAGTTATAACACATGGTTGCGTTGAGGAGACTGCTTTTAAGATTGTGGTTGCTAGATTCATGTGAGTTTTTTTGACTATACTACGTGTGACATTAGATGTCTTTGTGTGGTAGATAGATTGTATGACTGATGTGAGACTATATTGGGACTATAGCAATTGAATGTGAGACTCTGGTGGGACTAATGCAATTGTATGTGAGACTATAGTGGGATTATAACAATTATATGTGAGACTATAGAAATTGTATATGGTACTATAACAATCGTATGTAAGACTATAGTAAGACTATATCATTTGTAAGTGTATGCATTGCATGTGTAATGCAATATGTGGTATATTAGGGAACTCACTAAGCTTTTTAGTTACATTTTGAAGTTAACTGTTTTAAGGTTGTTTTGGTGAGAAAGGAAGGGCATTGCGTACTCGCATTTGGTTGACTATGTTTTGGAGACTTCCACAATACCCAGAAGGGAACTAGGTTTTTTATGATGATTGAAACAAATGGATATTTATGTTCTTTTTATATAAATGGTTTTTGAGTTGTTCTTAATAATATTTTTAAAAGAAAATTTGGTTTGAAAATTTAGGACGTAACAAGTTGTTATCAAAACCTTGGGTTGAGGGATTTAGACTAATGTGAGCATGTGTCTGAACTCAAACAAATTTCTATGAGATTTTTCTAAAGAAATCAAAAAGACATTTTTATAAAAGAACGAAAGTTGCAATGCAAACAATCAGTCAGAACTCGAGAAGGAAAGTGATTCCTAGTATACCCATATTGTTTTTTGATGTTATTTATGCACTTAATAGATATGCATGTTAGAATGTAGGCTAAAGATCAATTTCCTCGAAGGTCTTGACTCAGACACTACAAAACTTAGACTGATCACTTTCCTCGAAGGACTTATCATGATCATCCAAACCTTAAGCACTTCCCCCCGAAGGGCTTGTCATCTTCAAGAAGCTCTAACATTATACACTAATAACTTCTTTGAACTTAAAACACTACTAATGTGGGCTAATATGAACTCTAACCTCTTTGAACATCTACATTCCATACCAAAAACCTCTACTTAGTTTATATTTCAAGTATCACTTAGTAATACCTATATTATACTATTTTTACTTTAGTGTCGTTACAACAATCAGTTCATAAACTGATTTACCTCTCTTATACCCATTCCTTTGAAAGGTTAATAATACTTTTTAAAGAAACCCTTATTAGTTTTCAGGGATATAAAATACTCATTCTAACGATTTTTTTATATTTTTCTATGAATATCCCAATTTGACAATAAAAATAAATTAATATTCTAAATCTGTAAAGATGGTCACTAACACCTAGACACAATTAGGATCATTACTTGGAAAAAAAATATATGTTAAACTATACTACTTTATCTTAACTTATTCCAAGAGCTCATGCTAATTTCAATTTTCTAGAATTAATTATACCTTTTACAAGATGGTTATTTCAAACATCCATCTTACTGAACCAATATAGAAAAATTCCAATTCCATCCAACTTGGGAAGGGAATCATGATAAGGCCTTTTGCAGAGAAGAAACTCTATATTCTTACCAAGTTCTAGACTAAAACTTCATGCAATTTGGAGTTTGCTATATTTAAAGATGAAATTTACAAAATGACTAATGTGATTAGTGGGTTTTCAGGACCAGTTTTATTGGATGAAAAATCTAAACATTTGTAGAAAAACCTATATCAAACCCGTTGTATACATGAAAATAAACATCCATTCCTTTTCAAGGTCATAAATTTCATACAATCTGTACATCCAATTGATTTTATATGATTTTTATAAAACATGAGGTATATTCATGAAATCACAATACCATCATGTTTAAGTTCCATCTTTTTCCAACTCAATAAGCACTTAACTATTAAGATTATATCCATAAATTCCAATAAGATATAGGTTCTAAACATCCATATTTATAGGTGTAATAATAGTATCGTAATCAATTAAGAGCTTGTCTAATAATCAATATATAAACCACACTTCTTCACTTATGATCATTAGAAGGAATTCATGTTGGTCTTCAGTCCAAACCGATTAAGAACTTATTACTGACTAAAATGAGATGGAACATGCAATACCACTCAACCACCATGAAGTGGTGGTGAAATGGTGATGTAAACAAAAACACTCACACCATTGATAAACCCATAATAATAAGAAATGCTTAAATTCAAAGAAGCCTTAGCCATGGAAATTATAACCTTCTTTACCACACCACCACCCATTCAAGTCAAAGGTGGTGGTGGCGACATTGTGGTCTAATGGTGGTCCTATGGTGAAAAAAACCACAACGCCTTTGATAAGCATATAAGAATAAGAAGTTCTTAAACTCAAAGAAGCCTTAGCCATGGAAATTGTAAACTTCTTGACCATACCACCACCGATTTAAGTCAAGGTGGTGGTGGGATAATTTTTCAGCAACCACCACCACCATCGGCGATCATGGTTAGTGGTGGTGGTGAGTGGAAATTAAATGAGAAAAGGGAAAGAAAGCTAGAAAGAGGATGAAAAAGTTTACAAACCTAGACACTTCCTTCCACCACCTCCAGTGAATATACCGGTGAAGCTCTAACAGCTTTTCTGGCCGGCCACCACCCCTTCTTACTCTATCTCTCTCTCTCTCTCTCTCTCTATA